CCTGGCGTCCTTCCTGGTGTCTCTGCAGATGATGCAGCTGCAGGACGTTGATCTGGACGAAGTGCAGTGTATCCTCGCTAACCTCATTTACATGGTGACACACACACACACACACACACACACACACACACACACACACACACACACACACACACACACACACACACACACACACCTCTAACTCTTCGGCAGCTTTTTTTCCATGTTTTTTTTACAATTTCTTTAAATAGTATTATTTTTCTTTATTTATATACTGGAATTAAATGTATTGTATAATTAATTATAATATATAAAACAATAAATGAATCAGATTTGTTATGTATTTAATCAAATATCAGTTTCACAATAAAGCAGATATATTCAGACAAAAAAAAATAAGAGAGAGATGTTTCTCAGCCGCAGCGGGGCGCTAACAGTTAACCTGTTCTTCTTCTGTGGTTTCCCTCAGGGTCACATCAAAGGCTACATCTCCCAACAGCACCAGAAGCTCGTGGTCAGTAAACAGAACCCGTTTCCTGCTCTGTCCTCCGTCTCATAGACTACATCACCCACAATCCCCTCTGCTCTGTCCTCCGTCTCATAGACTACGTTGCCCACAATCCCCTCTGCTCTGTCCTCCATCTCATAGACTACGTTGCCCACAATCCCCTCTGCTCAAACATTCTTTATTTTTGTAGAGCGTGTCCCGTCTCTCTTTATTAACACTAACCTGAGTAACACTGGAGCTGGTGCATTGTGGGTATTGTAATCTTTACTGGGCATTTATCATCTGTAGTGGAATATACAGTGGAATATTTAAAATTAAAAAGTGTAATATTTCAAGAAAACGTCAACAATTCGGGGAAAAAGTGTTAATATTTGAGGATAAAGTTTCTCAGGGTTTCTCGGGGTACTGCACGACCTGAGAGGTCACGTGACCCTGAGAGGTCACGTGACCCTCGCTGGCCTCCAGCCGGGTCCGGATCCAACTCAGGTACCGGGACAGTTTGGTGAACACCAGCCCGTCCCCACATGATGATGTCATCAGCAGCCCGGTGAGGAACGCCGTCCCGCGCTCCACCGTAGCAACCGGCGTCCCCGGCAACAAGCCCGAACACCGCCGGGCGCTATTCAGGGTCCTGTGCCCGGTTTCTGATCCAATCAGAATCCGGTCCGCTCCATGGGGGGTTCGGTTGTGGTCCTGGTGGTGGTTTTGATGGTGGTCTTGGTGTTGTTGGTTGTGGTTCTGGTGTTTGTTTTGTTGTTGGTTTTGATGGTGGTCTTGTTGGTGGTCCTGTTGGTGGTCCTGGTTCTGGTGATGGCTTTCATTCTGCGTCCCTTCGCTGCCATTCTTGTTCCTAAAGGGTTCATCCGGGCTCTTAATGGTACTGTTTGGGTTTCTTAAATCCCCAGTCTGGTCTCTATGGACTCGATCAGAACCTTTTCTCCTCATATCCGTACTAGTGTAATTCCAGAGTTCATTAAGTCTCCCCTGGGCTCGTTTGGGTCTCCTTTGCCCCCCCTCTTGTCCCTCATTAAGCCCCCCCATGCAGAACATCTTGTTGCTAAGCAGATTTGAAACGTTCGTATTTAGTCGGCACTCGTCCAGCGTTTTGTAGACGAGCGTCTTTTCCCCGGCGTCCCCCGTCCTCCCAGAATGCATCAGGATGTTCTCGCTGAAGTCCCTGGTGGGGGGGAGGCAGAGGTGGGAGAGGGCGGGGCCAAATGTCAGGGGGCGGGACAACTCCAGCAGGACGAGGTCATCATCACGGCAATGCTCACGGAAACGCTCGTGGATGTAGAGCGACCGCACGGCGACGAGCGTCTTTCTATCGCCTGGAAGAATAAAAGATTAATGAGGCTTTTATTGTGAAAATCATCTTAAATTTCACAATAAAACGCTGCAATAATATACCGGCGGCCACGGTGAAGTCAGAGGGTCGGGGGGGCGATGACACGCCCGTCAGGAGGCATCGAGCCGAGGTCAGCACGGAGCGACGGCCAATCACAGCGCAGCTACACAGCTCCTCCCCTCTGCTGTCCAATAGGGACGCCTGCAGGAGCAAAACAAACCTAAATACAGCATGACTTCACCACCGCTAAGCTAAAGGAGGCTAATGGGACGTGATTGGTCGCCTCACCTGCCAGGGACAGGCTCCTCGAGGGCACAGCGTGGCGTTGATCTCGTCAGGAAGTCTTCCGCAGGTAAACTCGGCTGAGGAAACAAACATGGCGTTATTTCTCTCTATAGTTCTTGTATATTTTCTCGTGTTTTTTATCATCGTACCTTCAGCCCGGCAGCTCCGCCCGTCCTCCTGCAGTCCGAAGCCCGTCAGGCAGGAGCAGACGAACGAACCGACGGACGCCTCGCACATCTGATCGCATGCCAACGGGCCGCCGATCGGACACTCGGAGATCTCTGAGACACGGGACGGTTAAAACACAGGTAGATCCTTTAGTCAAAAATCATTGAAAAACGAATGTGTTGCTGGTGGAGTACCGACCAAATAAAAGCGCTGAAAAAAGCACACCTTAAACTAGCTTTGTTCCAAGCCACGCCCCCTGTTTGGAGGCGGTGCTAACATCGCGTTGGGCGTGGTCTAATCAGATGTATTAAAAGCCATTTTTATAAAGGTTCATTTAAAATGTAAAATAATACAAATATATATACAGAAGAAAAACAGATACATTAGGGGAAATAAAACATAATCAATAAAATGTATAATCAAATTAATATATTACAAAATAACAAATACGATTTAATTTATAGTTATAACCTATATATAATAACCTGTGGAGGTGACCAGCGGGGCGGCGGGGGGGTTTCCATCGGGCCCCGGGGCCCTCAGCTCACAGACAGGGCCGTAGTGAGGGGGGGGGCAGCAGCACAGGAACCCCCCCAGCCGGTCCGTGCAGTTTCCTCCGTGCAGGCAGGGGTCCGGCTCGCACTGATCCCCGTCTGCAACAGAAATACAGAAATATAAATAATGACGAAAACAAAGTATTAGTTTAGAGTCAAAATGAAAACGTACCGTAGTAAACGTTCCAGAAGGCGTTCTGAACACAAACAAAGACAAACAAAGACATTCAAAACGGTTTCGAAGTAATTTAAAATATTGCCTTAATTATTATTATAACTATAGTTATCATATTTAATAATTAAAAATGTTTTACAAAAGAAAATAACTGTACTTATATAAGAATTAACAAATATATTTAGATAAATAAAATATATAAATTGAAGTATTATTACAAAATATATTTAGACAAGAAAAATTAGAATTAATCTATAATAAAAAATATATAACAAATACTAATATATTCTTTAATGTTTTCCCTCACCGTACTGGGCGTGTCCTCGAAGTATTCCCGCGCCTCCTCGTAGTTGCACCATTCCTCGTAGCACTCCCTCTCGAGGTTCCCCTGCAGAACCTCCTCCAGAATGAACCTGTTAGCACGCCGCGAGCGCAGGAACACGTCCTGGGGACCCCGAAACACTGACAATAAAATAATAAATACTATTATATAAAACAGGTTAGCACGCCGCGAGCGCAGGGGGCCCGAAACACTGACAATAAAATATAAAATAATATAAATAAACCTGTTTAACTGCATGCAACGTCCTGGTTGCGAGCGCCGCAAAAAACTACTAAATAATATCAAATAAAAATCTTTGTAGTTTATAAAATGTAATAGTTATTCAAACTAATTCTTCATTACGACACTGAGTGTGTTTTAAGTTAAAAACAGTGTGTTTGGCACCAATAGACCACCTGGACAACGAACTGGATAATTTGTTTATGTCTGACATATCATATTTACCTTTCAGTTTACCGCCCGATTGACTTGTGAATCAAACGACAGCTGATATTAGCACTAAGTTCGCAGTTTACCGATGTCTTACCTTGTCCTTGGATGAGAACTTGAAGGAAGCAAGCGGTTAGCGCCAGAAGAGACGCTCGAGCCGACATGATGCCGACCGCCATGACTCTGAGTGTCTGAACACTGTTTACACACTGACGTCACACACTGATTTCTGTCGGGAGTCTCGTGATTAAATCAAACCAGACTTCATTCACAAATTTACCAATTTAAAAAAGCTTCATCTTAATTTACGGAGTTCAGTTTTACACATTTTAAATAGATTTTAAAACTCAATATTCCCAGAGGAGTCAGTGTTTCACCTCCTCATCAGGTGTGTTGCTCTAAAGAGTTAAACGGTATTTAAACGTCTCTTTGTAAACACTGCAGTGGACTCTGACCTATTCTCTCTAAACAAGCAGCATCGACCTCTGAACTCCAGGAGTCCCCGGGTAAACAAGGGATTAATCATTTAAAATCATCCCCGCATAGACGTGTAGGGGAGACATGATGTCCCAACAAGACCCTTAGCCCATATACCCCACATTACGTTACAAACCTTAAAATCTCATAAAATATTCAAATATAACTGTTAAAATCTCCCAAAATCAAAGACGATGTGTTAAAATAATCTGCAATGAGACTCAATCACAAAAGACTTCCACTGTTGTTGTTTTTATTTATTTATGTAGCTTCTCTTTAAGATGAAAAAGCACATTTTAGACAGAACACACGAACACACAGTTTTTTACACATATGTAATATATTTCAATTGTTAAATTGATCAAAATTGCACTTTTCCTTTAACAATACTGATCAAAAAGCTTCTTTGTAAGATGCAAATATGTCAGATGCCGCCCTATAAATGAAAATAAATCGATTAAAATAACTACATATAAAATATAAAGGGCCGAGACTCAAGCCCTGAGGAACCCCTAAAGTAATTATCAACATTATAACAGGGATTAGCTTGTTTAGCTAGCTATGCTATGTCGTGGTGTTTACAGAAGCAGCCTCCGGGCCGGGCCGCGGTGCCTCTTCCTCCGCCTGCCGCTCTTCTCTTTGGGCATCAGCTGCTCTATGCCACTGTTGATCCAGCGGATGTACTTGGACACCTGAGTGTAAACGCCGTATTTCCCTTTCCGCGCGCAGCCCTCGCCCCAGCTCACAATGCCGGTGATGAAGTACGTGTTTCCGTAGCGTGTGACGTGCGGTCCGCCGCTGTCGCCTTGGCACGAGTCCTTGGCTATCGTGTCGTAGCCGGCGCAGAACATGTTGGTGCTGATGCGCAGCTGGGTGGACTCCTTGCAGGTGAGCCGGTCCACGTAAGGCATGGAGAGACGCTGCAGGATGGTGGACGGCTGCCGGCCCTCGCCCGTGCGCCCGAAACCACTCACCATGCCGTCGGGCTCCCGCATCAACACCTGTAGAACCAGGGGGGGAAGAGTTAGCATTGGAAGCTAACGTATTCATACCAGGGGGGGAAGAGTTAGCACTGGAAGCTAACGTATTCATACCAGGGGGTAAAGAGTTAGCACTGGAAGCTAACGTAATCGTACCCGGGGGTAAAGAGTTAGCACTGGAAGCTAACGTATTCATACCAGGGGGTAAAGAGTTAGCACTGGAAGCTAAGGTATTCATACCAGGGGGTAAAGAGTTAGCACTGGAAGCTAACGTAATCATACCAGGGGGTAAAGGGTTAGCACTGGAAGCTAACATAATCATACCAGGGGGTACTTTTACAAAAAGAATCATGCAAAAGCTCCTCTTTAAATCTTCTGTTTCACCAAAGTTAGAAAAAGAATATGAGCTAAGTTTGGAACGACTCGGCCACTGAATGTCAAACTTTATTTGTGAAACACGTTTTGAAGGTTCACCTTTTCAGCGAACTCCTGCTCAGGGATGCAGGCCGGCAGGATGAAGCGGGAGAACTTGATGGGCATTGCTAGCTTCATTAGCGCGATGTCGTTGTTGTAGGTGTCCGGCTTGTATCTGTGGTGCGTGATGATCGTCTCCACCTCGTGCCTCGCCTCGTTACCGTGATCCACCAACACGTCAAACTCCCCTGTAACGTATTTCAGTAAAAGCGTGCAACATAAATCTGCCTCGTGTTTTATATTCGGGTCCGTCAGACCTACCGAGTCTCACGTAGATGTAGCGCGAGGCATTCATGCAGTGGGCGGCCGTCAGGATGATGTACTCGTTAAGGATCGTTCCTCCACAGAAACCCCGGTCGTCCTCGTTCAGGAGGAGAGCCTGCAGGACCAGATGCAAACTGGTAAAACTGAACCAAAATATACTTCCAGACGTCTTTAATGGACTTCCAAGTATATACCATTATGGACTTGTCAAAAAGAAAACATTGGCCTTATAATTTGACTATTATTCATTCCCACGTAGAAAACAAAATGAGTACCTCTTCTTTGCTTGAAATCCCAATTAATTGATAATCAAAAACAGCTACTAATATCTTCACACATCTTCATCATCTGCGAAGTGCTTAACATTTTTATTTCTACGTGTTTACCTGCCACGGACACTCCCCCGGAGGACAGTCCTCTCCGTTCACGATGCGCGTCATACTCGCCATCTGAGAGTAAAGCGTCTCCTCAGACACGGCGTCTTCCAACAGGAAGTCGCTGTTCTCTGGCAGGAAGTCGCTGTTCTCCTGCAGGAAGTCGCCATCGCTGATGTTTTTCAGCATTAAGTCGCTCATGTTGATGTTTTCCATCACCGTGGACTCGTTGCCCTGCGTTGTCGTGTTTTTGCGGTCGTACCGGAAAACTGTCCGGACGTTTTCCGTCACGACGGCGCCGCATTTAAAGATGTCTGCAAGAGATCGGAGTTTTGGGTTATTGCAGGAAATAATCTCTAAAAACAAACGTTGTGTTGTAGTAAAAAGCTAATAAAGGAACTACATGACTTCACGTCACCACCGCTAAGCTAAAGGTGGCTAATGTTGGGCTATATAGGAACTACAGCACGGTCACATGACTTCTCGTCACCACCGCTAAGCTAAAGGTGGCTAATGTTGGGCTATAAAGGAACTACAGCACGGTCACATGACTTCTCGTCACCACCGCTAAGCTAAAGGAGGCTAATGTTGGGCTATAAAGGAACTACAGCACGGTCACATGACTAGGCAATAGGCTAGGCTAGCAGTAGCTTCAACACAGGCCTCTCCTTGATGCTTCTGAATGGTCAAGAGATATTTAGCCTGACCACCCTTTCACTTTGTGTCTAGTTGAAGATATCCTCCAAGTAAACACCAAAGGTACAGCATCGCTAACATGTAGGGAGT